TAGCCTAACTAATAAATTGATCACGTTCAGAATGTTGTCCCTCAGTTTACCTTAATTTTCAAATGTAACAATTGGCATCCTAAATGGGACTGGGGGAGAGGGCGTGGTCCCTTAGCATCCTCTTAATGGAAAGCCTTGGATGCTCCAGAGAAATTTCTCCTTGAACAATTTCTCCATGGAGGACAGTACTACAGGTCCTCCCCCCCCCCACACAGATACACAGACACATAGACACACACACACAGACACACACACACACAGACACACACACACACACACACACACACACACACACACACAGAACCACCACCACCACCATCCCTTGCCCTGAGTCTCAACCCTTCTGTGCAAAATTTATGTGTGTGTATCCCAGAGTTTGACCTAAAAATGGGACTTTCCTTTGTGCACAAGAAACCTCTGTTTTTATTTTAGACAGACTTTAATGCTCTCAGAGCTGCCCAGCCATGGGGAGGCCTTCCTAGAGAGGGAGGGAGGAAGGGACTTGCCCCACCCTCACAGTTGGAGTTTAACCTGAGTCTGGAAGGAGTGAACTGGTCTGAAGTCCTATAGAAAGCAGCTCCATCATCCTCCAGGCTTGAGAGATTCTCCACACAGTCAAGTCCCCCAAATGATGAAAAAGAAAGAGGAGCAGACCTGCAGTAAGGCACACTATGTTGAGAGACCCTTGGCTTGGCTCATTACTACCCCTACAAACCATAGTGAAAAGTGAAGGAAGGGATGTTGGGGAGGAGGACCCACAATCCTTCTGTGATATGTTGATGAGCTAACAATAACTAGCTCCCTCCCTGCCAAACATGACATGGCCTAATATTAGAAAGCTCCCAATCCCTAAGCTAGGACAACATAAAATTAACTAGCTAGACTGTACCTTAATCAGTGTATATCAGAATTACATCTGTGAATACACTTGGACCAAACAAACCCCAGTTCATGCCACTAGTCAGCCTCCTGTAATGACTCTTGGCATAATGTTCTTGTGAGAATCTAACAAACCCACCCGATGACTAATAAACTGAGTCTGGGTCACTCCCCTTAGCTCAGAAGCTACTGACCAAAAATGGGACTGAGTTTCTTGATAGCTATACTTCTAGGGATGGAAAGGGATGGACAGACTCACTACCACCCTCTCTTCTCCAGATAAGGGCCAGGTCACTGAACCTCATGTTTCAGTGATAGAGAATTCCTCTCGTCTCAAACCCAGGAACAAGGCTGGGAGTACGGTTCTCAGTAGATACACTTTCACAGGTAGGAGTTATTGCCTTTGCTGGAGACTTCCTTAAGTTTTTAATTGGGGGTACTTTACTTTGAAATGATTCACCATGAATCTTTTACTTAGTCTTTTGGAAAATAAAAATGACCTTGTAAATTCACATTATCTGAGAAGCTCTTTTGGAACTTGCCACGTCTTCTATGGCTTCAGTGTTGACAAGGCCAAGAACTCTCACAAACTCTGTGAAAGATGGGCCTGTGGGCATGCATATGACTAATCAGAGTCTTACAGAATCTAAAATAGTAACTTGTTTTACTAAACAACTGAGATCCCCTCCTCACACTCATAGCCCAAGTGGAGGCTGGCTTACAAGTTTTCTGGTTGTATAAAAGTGATTCATAGCATCAATTGTCAGACTACTGACCATGAAAATTACGAAGTTACATGTGGAATAGAAAGTATTAAAGCTAGATCTTTGAGCTGACTTAGTACTGACAGGTTCCAGTTTAAAAGATTTTTTCTCTTTACCCTGGGGGCTAATATGCATTACCTTAAGACATCTGGGAAATAGTGGCCAGAGTTTTTCAGGGTTATGAATGAATTATCATGTATTCACTTTATGTACAGGCCTCCAGAAGGAGATTACATTTTAATTGATTTTTACATCAGGATGTGCTTTACCTAGAAAAGAAAAGTCAAATCATGAATGAATGCTTTTGTATTTGTGCTTTTGTGTGCACTTGATCAGGACTGAAGGTCAACATTTTTCTTATTTATTGTTAACTATTACTGTAACCTGAAAACTGACTGTTCCCTGCTCTAAGCTATAAGCCATGAACTCACTGTGTGACATGAGATGAGGTAGTTGTAGTTTGATTTGCTCTGATTTTGGAATTCAGGTACAACTCTTCGATGGTTGTAAAGTCAGTACGCCAGGATTTAAAGGAAATACCAAGAGCTACTTAAAGAGACTATCCTGAGAAGATGGCCTTTGAAAGTAAGGGTAATAGCCTCTTGACTTAATTTCCCCATGTGCTATTTTCTTTATGGACAGGTATGTTTCTCACTGGGTTTGTTCTGAACCTGACTATAGTACCCGGGGAACAATGTATGATTGGTTGTTTCAAAATACACCCATGTGGGACAACGGCCACACTAGAATTAAAAGTTTGGAGGCTGAGTCAGAGAACAGAAAAGGTTTTATTCTTTCTCATGAGAAAAGGCACAGCCCTTATCCTTCGAGTAGCAACAGCCAGGGAGTGCACCTACTGGTTGGGAGAAGCAAAGTTTTATAGCCCTAACTCGGTACCCCCACCCCATTTCTGAACCCTTCTTCCATTGGCTGGGTTTCGGGGTGCACAATCTAAAGTGGCTTTCTAAGACCCTTATTTGGAAATATTTGCCCAGAGACAGAGAATCAGGAGGACTTCTGGTAACCATTTAGAAGTCCCCCCAGAGACAGATAAGCAGGAAGCCCCTGGCAGTTAAGCTAGCAGTCTTTCATAATTTTTACCTTGCTAGAGGAATTAGAGCACGGGTTAATGTTGGCAGATTCATCAAGTTTTACTGCTTTGAGGGTACGAAGGGGATTTATGAATTTTAGTACTGAGGAAACTTCATCTATCTCACACACATCTATGATTTTTATCTGAAATCAAAGTGAGGCAATGAGGTTTTCCCCTGGTGTGCCTATGATTTGTCAGCCCATAATTTTAGGCTTAGCCTTCAGGAAATGGTCCTGATATTGTTATGACTATATCCTTCTTCCTTTCACAGCAAATTTTTCAAAGCATGGCAAAGAATTGGAAATGTTCAAAAACGGATCTTACTGTTACAATCAGCAAGCATCTCTGAATGATTATAATGAGATGCAAGTATAAAGGCTGTCATTTCTTTTCTTTCCTCTCACTGTTCTGAATTTGTCACCATCACTTGTCTCAACTTCCTAATTTAGTTGTATTAACAGCCTTAAAATGTTTGCTGTCATGCTGTGAAAAACAATAAAGAAGCCCAAGTAAAAATGCTGGTCCTAAAGGAGATGTTTTAAATTTTACCATAAAGACACTGCTGAAGGAGAAACTACCCTGGTGGAAATATTGAACTTCTTTCAGCTCCATTTTAATAACCACAAATGTCTATTCAGACAAATGTCTAAATACATGGACTGTGGATATGTTTTAGTAATTGTTTTTGGATATGTTTTAATAATTGTTCATGAAGTCTGATCAGACTTGAGCCTTTTGGTGAAGTTCAGGGGAAAATTGTACACAATAACAGCAATATTGTTTGATGAAAAACCGCAAATGACTTAGCTACTCTGAGCAATACAATGATCCAAGAGAATCCCAAAGGGCTAATGATGAAGCATACTATCTGACTCCAGAGAAAGAACTGATATTGACTGAATACAGACTAAAGGAGGCTGGTTTCCACTTTCTTTCTTTCATTGTTTTTCTTTCATTCAAGTCTTCTTGTACAAAATGACTAATATGGAAATGTTTTACGTAATTGTACATGTATAGCCTACATCTGATTGCTTATCATCTCAAAGAGTAGGGAGAGGAGGGAAGGGAGGAGGGATAGAATTTGGAACTCAAAAAACTATAAATAAAAATATTAAAAGCTTTTTAAAAATAATTTTTAAAACTCCAAAAAAAAATATCTAGTCATAGGAAAGAATCCAAAAACATAAGTAACATTCCCTACATTTGGACTTCCTCCTCTGCTAAGAATTGGCATCTTTCTTCATCTCTCCTTTGGAAGCCATTTTGCTCCTTTGTAACTTTGGACCATTCTCTTGTAATTGTTTTTGTGATTATTATTCCCATTGTCTTTGGTGGTGGTTCAGAGGTGTTAACAGGATTTTACGTGTAGGCTGGACAGGACTCACCTCTGACCTGTGAATACCCAGAGCCACGCAAAGCAGGCCAGAGACAGGAGTGCCAGGAAACAAGCAGTGGTTTAATTAATTACTTTCAGAGTGACAAATGTTTTCTGTGCTAGAGTAAAGGCACAGCATATACACACAAATCACAAGTGAGAAGGGGGTGGGAGGTAGCTTACAAACAATCATTTCCAGGGTCTGAGAGGTTTCCCATGACAAGCCCATAAATGCAGGACAACACAGGTGTCTTGGAGTCCTGTAGGACCAGTATTGTTGGGGGTTATTACTTGGCGGGGCATAGGACCAGAGGTCTGTGGTGGGAACAGGTTCTAAATCTTTGATTTGCTTCACTTAATGTACACAGGCATAGGAATGCAGTGATTGGGAGAGCTTTGTCAAGGGTTTGATTGATCGTTTCAAACTACATTGTAGATTCTGACTCCCAAGCCAGAAGACGCAGCTCTGAGATATCTAAATTAGCATATTGCTTATACATATCATATCCATTAACATGAAAATCATAAATCCCTTCGCAGTGGGTAGAGCACAGGGCCTGAAGTCCAGAAGATATGAGTTCAAATCCAATCTGAGACACTTCCTAGGTGTGTGACCCTAGATAAGTCACTCACCTCAGTTTGTCTGACAAAAGTTTGCACTGGATCAACTTGAGAAAGACATGGAAAACAACACCAGTGTCCTTGCCAAGAAAACATTGTTGACAGTATGATCCATGGGGTCACAAAGAGTCAGAATGACCTCAGAGTCTCAATGACCAAGGAGCAATGTTTGAGCTCTAAGTAAATTCTTCTCCACATTTAATTATATTTCTTCTATGGCTTCTTTACTGCCACAGCCCTCCCTGAAAAATACAAGGTTTCCCAAAGTTCAGTCTCTGCCACTTAGACTTTCCCAGGGACTTTGAGGCAGTCTGTGAGCTTCCCCAGTACGCTCAGAGAGGCCTGCCTCAGCTTGCTGTGACTCAGAATTAGGATAATGGGGTGGGTCATGGGATAGAGGTTCATGGCTATCAGTGAAAACATTGCCACAAGTTTACTGTGAAGCACAGACATGTTAAAGATGGCTATGATGATGCCCAAATGGTATAGTAGAAAGAGGAAAAGAAAGGAGACAATGGCTTTCATAGCCCTCACATGGGCCTCTGTACTGGGATCCCTGGAGCCCATGACCTTGAGATGCATGTGCTGGGTGTGCCTCCACAAGGACAGCACTAACAGGAAACAGGAGCTGAGGGATAGAGCAAAGGGGACCAAACCCCCAGTACTGGAGAGAATCAGGGTGGAAAACATCAGGGTTTTAAATCCTCGGTTATTTTGAGTAACTGTTTGATTTCCTTGATCAATGGAAACTATCTTAATCTTAGCAATTCTCCCTGCCATTGCAGGGATAATGAACAAGGATATGAGCCAGCATCCCATCAGCATCCTGAGGACCACCTTGCTAATTCTCCACTTCAGCCAGAGGAAGGCAGGATGGGAGAAGGTGGCAATCTTCAGAAAATAGAAGATACTGAGGCAACTTCCAAACCAGGCACTTGAATGGTTGCTGAGGCTCCAGATAATTTCTAAATACACCAGATTACCAATGGAATTTCTTTCCAAACCAAAAAAACCAACAAGGTTAATTGCTATTAGTGAGAACAATGTACCAATCCTGGAGATGGCCAAGCCAGTAAGGATGAAATCAATTGAGGTCACTCTTCTGCTCTTCACACAGTCAATGCAATTTACCAGTCCAATGAAGCCATTAGCCAAAACCCCCACTAAGCACTCTCCAGATGCCACAGTCACAGAGATGCTCTCCAGTACACTTGGCATGTTTGTGAAAAGAAATTCCTTGATACTTTTAATATTGTTTCTGGTGAATGAATTTCCAGCCAAGGGGAGCAGAAAAATATTTCTGTTTCTTAAAATAACAGTAATTTTCTTCTCTCTCTTGTGGGCTCTCTCTGTGATCAGGAAAAACTCTGCCCTGCTATGGGATGAGGCTGTAGTTATATTCACAGCAAACACCTCTCCTTGCTAAAAGTTAAAGTGATTGTTAGCTCAGACCTTGAGTGGGCAATTCCAGCATTTCTGGGTGGTCATTATTCATGTGGGCTCCTGCCTAAGGGGCCAAGCTGCTGTTTTCAAAGATGTAAATGAAGGACAGATTCTATTTCATTGCTTTGTACTTTTAACTCAACCTAATTTGTCTGCATAAGAGAAATAAACAAAGCATCGAGCATGCAGAATGTAGAAAAACACGGGGATGGAATATTATCAACTTTCTGACAATCATCTTTCCTAAAATGCAGTGAGGTCTAGTGGAAAAAATGGTGACCCCTTGGGTTTGAATGCAACTCTGGCATGCTCAAGCTTCACGAACATGGGCAAATCAATCAAGCTCTTCAAACCTCAGTTTTCTCAACTGTAAAATAAAGTGAACAATTCCTATAGGATGCCCAATATCCAGGGAAAGCATTAAATTAAAATGCAAGTAATAGTCAATGGAGCTAAGAAGATAAAGACACCATGATACCAGCTGTAGAAAAGATTTGAGCCTTCTATGGGTTACCTTAGCTAACAAAGGTGGGAGACTGATGTGCAACCTTCTGTCACCACATTAACTTGATGGTTTATATAAAAACACAGACTGTCTTTCATGGAAAAGTCAGAGATTCCACCCAAAAGCCACCAATCACTTTCAAATTTCATCCCTTTAGAAATCCACTGTTTTCAAGGATGACAGATTACAAGGACAAATACAGAACCTGGGGGAATTTTTCTTCTGTTTTGGTGCTTTCAAAGAGAGGAAGAAAAGGGGAAGGAAACACACAAGGAAAGAAACGAAGAAGAGGAAGAGACATTATTTTTTTTCACGATTAGGAGTATGATAAGAAGAGTATACAAAAAATGGAGGAAGAGGTTGAAGGGGCTGTCTCCTGAAACTCATTGATTCCTCTGACTCAGATAAAAGAGGGTCACACACAGAGTCTGATGTAAAACACATTCAAATCAAGAGGGCAACAGATGGAAACAGGGAGAGAGAAGTGGTGTGTTTCAGAAGTAGAGTTAGAGAGGGAATAGATCCAAGCCAAATAAAATTCAACATGTGAGAACAGATAGTAAAGTAGGGATTAAAAGGAAAGAAAGAAATTGTAGTAATTATGGTGGTGTGGGGTAGTTGAAGAGAAGGGCAGGGGAATGAGAGCAAATGTCTTTGATTGAAGGTCATTATTGTTGATCACCTTCCTTTCTTTCTCTATTTTCTTCTTTATGAAGGGGAAGAGGAAGGTACAGAGAGGAAAAAGTACAAAATGATATTATGGAGGTAAATATACAATTAGCAACCAGAACCATGAATATAAACAGGATCAACTCACCCATAGAATGGAAGATGGGAGCAGAATAAATCATCAAGCAGAATCCAGACATACATTGTTTACAAGAAACAAGCTTGATATATAAATATTCACAGAGAGTTAAAACGTTGAAACAGAATATATTATATTTCATGTGAACTCAAAAAAGCAGGTATAGCAATCATGACCTCACTCAGGGAAACACTGAGAAAAGACTTGGGAAGAAAGAAAGAAAGAAAAAGAAAGAAAAAAAGAAAGAAAGGAAGGAAGGAAGGAAGAAAGAAGAAAGAAAAACAGAGAAAGAACACAGGAGCGGGGAAACTACATTGTGGTTAAAGGCATAATAGATCAAGAAATAATAATAACAATTAATTAGCAATTATTAATATATATGTACTTAAATAACATAGCATCTAAGTATTTTTACTGAAAAAGACTTTTATATGCACTAGATACACTAAATAAAGTTACACTAAATAAAGATATAAGTTAATAATCATAGTTAAACTGCACCAAACACAAATAACATTGGTGATGCTAGCCCTCTCTACAGCAGACCAAAACAAAAATATTTTTAATGAGGAAAAATGGAATGGTAAGTATCCAAAGGACAAAATCGCTATTACGTCAATTTTTTAAGTCTCCCATATGACCAAGCATGTTTAGCTATTAGAAGAGCAAATTGACAGTGGCAGCAATTTCCTATGAACACTTTTTCCCCTCTGTATAATGTTCCCACCTAATGTCATTAATTGACACAGAAAAGATTCAGAACCATCAGTGCTCTGGTGCTTGACAAAGACATCCTTTTGGTTCTGGGAAATAACATTCTTTGAAAGACAAATGAAAGCTGGATATATGTTCCATAACATAAAGAGAAAATGCCAATGTCCACTAAAGGTCTTTTGAAATACAGACACCTTGAGGGAAAATATAACGTCCTTTAGATAACTGCTCCACATTCATATTTCAAGAACACTTTCATCTCAAGCACTGTCTCCCTCAGACAAACACTTCAAAAAGGCATGACAATTCAAAGAAAGTCTTAAGTGGACATCTTTAGACACAATGAAACAAGCTATTTAAGAAGAGGAGGGTGATCTTCATTTTGGATACTTTAATACTTAGCCTTGGGAAAACTTCAGAAAAATCTTGAATCAACATTTTTGTGGTAAATGTCTTCAGAGAGCCATTTTTGCTTTAACTTGTCGTTTTTATCTGGAGCCCTCTCTAAGCCCTCTTTGGCATACAACTGAGGATTACAGCCTTGATCTATAGATTCAAAAACTTTCTATAGTCTACTAATGAGTATCCGAAAGCCACTGTTAGCACTCGTCAATTTTCTGCAAGCTGGTGACAATAAACTTCAGCTCCTGGTTGAGCTTGACCTGGCTGCTGGGCTGGAAGTTGCTGTCAATAGCTCTGATCTAAGGGGCTTTCTCCACAAACTCCTCCAGCTGTTCACACTTCCCCATCATTACCAGAACCATGAAACCACCACCTGTATTTCTTCAAACCATGCTAGGAAGACCTCACTGCTTCTACTTCTCTTAATATCTATGTACTACAGGAAAAGTAATTCCAACTACAGTGGGGTAAAGCAAAACTGTACTAGTTGGGAAGATTAATAAACCCCCTTTCACACTTGAATAAACATAATAAAAAATAAGAAATAAATTAAGGACTTGAAGAGAATTTTGGAAAGATTAGATATTAGAGAAGTCTGGTGATCACTGAATATAAGTTAAAATGATGATACCTATTACTTAGATATAAGTGACACCTTTAAAAGCCTGCCTGTGTTATGGGGCATAAATTGGAATTGAATAAATTCAATTTAATAAATGCAGAGAATGCAGAAAAGTAGAAATACTAAACACGTCCATGCAATAAAAATCACAATCAATAAAAGGCATTTAAAAGTTTCAAACTTTAATATAGACTAAATTGTTTAATCCCATGGAATTGCTAGGTCAAAATGCAAGTCACAGCAACAGAGAATTTCATCAAATAAATGACAACAGCGATAACCATATCAAAACTTTGGAAATAGAGTCAAAAAAGTCCTTTCCAACTTTTCCCATTGCATGACCTGACTTACTTTTTTTTAAATTAAAAAAATGCTTTATGACCTCATTTGGTGTTTTCATGACAAAGATACCGAAGTGGTTTGCTATTTTCTTCTCCAGCTCATTTTACAGATGAGGAAACTGAGGCAAGCAAGGTTAAGTGACTTTCCCAGGGTCACACAGCTAGTAAGTATCTGAGGTCAGATTTGAACTCAGGTCTTCCTGAATCCAGGCCAGGCACTCTATTCACTACAGCACCTAGCTACCCAACTTCTGACTTATGTTTTAAGGAAGATCAGTTTGGAAGCTGCATAAAAGATGTTTGGGAGAAAGGAGAGACCAAATGGGAGGCTAATGTAATAGTCTAGTAAGAGATCAAGTAAGTCTGGGGGCAACTAGGTGGCACAGTGGATAGAGCACTGGCCCTGGATTCAGGAGGACCTGAGTTCAAATCTGTCCTCAGACACATAACACTTACTAGCTGTCTGACCCTGGGCAAGTCATTTAACCCCATTGCCTATCAAAAAAAAAAAAGAAACAAAGAAATCAAGTAAGTCTGAACTACAGTAGAAGCCACTTGAGTGGAAAGAAGGGAACATATGTGAGATACATTTTAAAGGTAGAATCCATAAAACTCGGCAACTGATTAGAATATGAGATGTGGTTAGAATATTGGGGGGTGATTGGGAATGAGGAGTCAAGAAGGGCTCCAGAGTTGAATATCTGGTTTACCTGAAGTACCCTAGTGTCCTTGGCAAAAACAGAGACTTTTAGAGGAGTGATAGTTTTTTGAGGGGAATACAATAAATTCTGATTAAGATATGTGGAGATTAGGCTCTCTATAGGACATCCAATTAGAAATTTCCAGAAGATGGCAAGGTGAGAGAGGAGTTCAAGACATAGATTTGGGTTGGATATACAGAATTGGGACTCGGCTATGTATAGATGATAATTAAACCCACAGTAGTAAACAAAACTCTCCCCTTTTGGTAGCATGTGAATAGGAAAGAAAGAAGTTAATGGTGGTAGTGATCTATGGTTGGGCCCTGCAAATGTGTATGAGGTTACCTGATTCATGATAAGATAAGGAATGAAGGGACCTCAGTTTGGAGGAGAGTGTAGAGTTGGACTGGTTAATCAATGGGTTGAGAGAGACAAGGAAGGATGGTGTAGCTGACACAAGGGGAGATGACCTGAGAAAGAATGGAGAGAAGGAAATCAGGGAGGTCATTGTGAGGACAATCCTAAATCACAACTACTGGCTACTTCCCTGCTGCCTGGTGAAATGCCCATGTCTTCCCCATATCCACAAACCTTCATTTGGTCCATCCACTCCTGCTAGCCACCATCCTAAATCTCTCCTCCCTTCTGTGGTTAAACTCCTCAAGAAGGCCATCTACAAGAT